GTTTATTTTGAAGATTCTTGCCACATCAACCATCTATATGGGTAAGAGCTGGCTATGCCATGTATAATGAATGTTCTAGAGTATTGGGCCCAATTTAGGCTAGGTTGCTAATGAGCACAAGAATTTGGGTTTTAGAGGGTTTGGGTTAGCTCAATTGGTTGATCCAAGTAAACTCATGGGTTGAGCTTACTGAGCTAGGTATATTTGGTCAAGATACACCTACTATAGCTGTTTAGGTAATTTAATTTCACAAGGATTTGAATTTGGTTCAAGTAAACTCTTTTGGGTTCACTTGATTCACCCCATGTCGTTAAATTAGATGGGCCCATAAGCTAAAACTTTTTAGGTGACCCTTGGAGACTCAATAGACAATCCTTATAGGTTTGGATGCATTAATTATGTCAAAATTATTGGTTTTGAATTTTTAAGTGCTTAATACATTTTGCTCAATTAGGGTTGACCAGGGTTCAAAGTGTGGTCCAACTCATTTCAAATGTGATTTAGAACTTGTTGGAATAAGTAAATTCCATGTAATGAAGAGGTCATTTGGTATAATATACATGTTTGAGTGCTTAAGGGACCTTTTGGTCAACTAAGATTGACTTGATCAACCATGGTTAACCAAGGGTTGGATCAATGCATTCAAAATGATGGGTTGAGTTTAATGAAGGTGGTCCCAAGATTTGGTCATGTCTCCATGCATGAAACATAATTTTAAAGGTTTAAAGAGCCTTTTGGTCAACAAGGGTTGACCATGGCTTAAGTTTGGGTTCAATGCACTCCAAATCACATTTGAAATTTGTTGGAATAGGTTTTAGGGGTTGGTTTGATTGACCCATATTGAAGTTCAAGGAAAATTCAATTTCAGGAGATTTTAGGGTTTAAGGTTTATGTGGCATCATGGTTAACCATGGTCAACTATGGGTTCAATGTTGGTTCAATACATTATGCTAATGATACTGATGATGTTTAATGGATTTGGGAAAGCTTCCAAGGTCAAATTCCATAAGATGTCATATTCAATGACATATGTTGTAAATATTTGAAGGTTTTGCAGTATTGGAATATACTTTGAGTTTAATGTGTTATGGGACTTGTAATACCTCTAAATTGATATGGTTTACTATAGAGACATGTCTAATCAATATGCATGTGATTGATCGTTAATATATGGTTATTTGGTTGGGGTTTGAAGTGATTGAAAATTATCCAAAAATAGGTTATGGACCAAAGGATTTTAGGTTTGGTTTTGAACATTAGATTTTGAAGTTTTGAATTTTCATTGGGAATCAATGGATTTGGTTTGGATTTCATTTGATCGATAATTTGAAGGAGTTTTGGATTTGAAATGATCAGATCATTGATAGTTATTGACTGTCAATTATTAAACCCTAAATGATCAGATGACAAACTGTGGTGACTGTTAAATGATGGATTTAGAGTTTGATTTTGCTTTGAGTTGACTATGAAATTTTGATTTTGAAATGATCATATCACTTACAATCATTTGGTGACAATCAAGTGATTGATCAGTTGATCATATGACAATCAAAGATGTTTGTCAAGTGCTAATTTTAGAGTCAATGATGTGATCACATGACAAAACACAATGATGAATTAGATTTTAAGTTTGGAGTGGAGTTCAATGATTTGTGTGTGGAGATTGGATGTTTGATATAGAGAACTATCCTCACACAACAATGAGGCTAATAGAGTCCCCACTGACTTAATAAATCCTGCATACTAAACTACCATATGTGTCTTAAAAATTTTTGAAAAGTAATTTACCTCAAGTACGCCTAAAGATGATTCAGATTTCACATCCCGCTTTCTTGCCGACTACAAATAAATAAAACTCTTAATTTTTATGCTATTATTTTTAATTAAAATTTATAGGTAGAGGCCAAAGTTTGAGGCAAAGTACTGTTGGAAGCTAAAGATTTACTTTGTAAGTTTTACTGTAGAGTTGATGATCACATTACTTTATAATTAAAATTAAAACAATTGATGTTGAGTTAAGCTGATTATTACATTTAAATCTTTTTTGTTAATAAGAAGTTTATAAAATTGATACTATTATATTGGAGTAGTAGACTGTGTTGGGAGGATTGCAATTTTTTATTTAGGTAAGCTTTTTTTTAACTATCTTCTTTGGATATGATGAAATAAAATATTTTTTGTATGAAATTTATTAAATAGGATTTTCATTATATATTAGATATGAAGAGATATTTTAAAGGAAAAAAGTGAAGTGGATTTATATGACTGTATTTGTAGTTATAATAATGTGAAATTCAAACAAGCTCGCTTAGAACTGAATTTTGATGAAATCCCTTCGGATGTATTTAATTAATTTTTTTTTTATTATCATCGAATGTATTTGAGTTAAGCTGATTATTACATTTAAATCTTTTTTGTTAATAAGAAGTTTATAAAATTGATACTATTATATTGGAGTTGTAGACTGTGTTGGGAGGATTGCAATTTTTTATTTAGGTAAGCTTTTTTTTTTTAACTATCATCTTTGGATATGATGAAATAAAATATTTTTTGTATAAAATTTATTAAATAGGATTTTCATTATATATTAGATATGAAGAGATATTTTAAACGAAAAAGTGAAGTGGATTTATATGACTGTATTTGTAGTTCTAATAATGTGAAATTCAAACAAGCTCACTTAGAACTGAATTTTGATGAAATCCCTTCGGATGTATTTAATTAATTTTTTTTTTGATTATCATCGAATGTATTTAATTAACCAATGAATTATACTAAAATTAAAATATAAACAAAGATCTTATAGTAATTTTCAGAATAGTCCTCATCTTGCAGCATCTTAACACATCTCATATTAGAATCCCACATCGGTAGCCCATCAGCCCCGGCATAAGTGATTCCCACCTCAGTCGCCCACTGGCACCGGTATAACATAATCCCATCTTGATTGCCCACTGTTGCTGGCCACCTCAGTTTTGTGCTTGCTCCAGCATAACAAATCCCATCTAAGTTGCCAACTGACATCGATATAATAGAATCACACCTTGGTTGCCCACAGGCGCAGGCATAAATGATTCTCATCTCAATCGCCCACTGACGCCGACATAATAACACATCACATTATCTCACATATTTTTTCATAAATAAACATATTTTTGGATGTATTTTATTAATTAAAGCATAATTGGATTCAATTCATAAATTAATAAAAAAATTAGAAAATACTTAAAATATTCGTAACCATAATCTTTATAATATATAAAAATTTAAGTGATGAAAGTTTTACCAATAAAAAGTTATCATCGTATTTCGGTAACAAAAATATAAATTTTATTAGAAAATTTTATACATATTAAATTATTATAAATTGAGATAGACAAAATATAATTTACCTTGAGACGAATAAAATTTTCAATTAGCCCAATGGCTAAAAATGATTCTAAGCAGATTAAAATGGAGTTTTTCTCTACATCAATAGAGGATTTTGCTTAACATTGCTCTCTAAAATTTACAAGTGCAAACTTCCTTAAGCAAGTTACTTTCGCATGGATTTTGTATCACATCATGCCAAGTCCTCTATTTGAATAATTTTGGGAGATTATGAAATATTCTGTTGAGCGCAACGGTTCTAGGGATGCGAGCACCACAGTGCCTAGGCTAAGTTAATGTTTTTTAAATAATAAATATCTTCATCCATTTTTATTTCTACCACCTCACCCTAGCCATTGCCGGAGGGAAGAAGAGGAAAGAGTGGAGAGAGAAAAAGAGAGAGGGATTTTGGAGGATAAAGCTCAGGTTCCATCCGTCGAGCCAGTTAGAGATTTTGTAGAGCATGGAATGGACTTCTATACTCTTATATCTGATTTCAATTCTAGTGATTTTCTAAAAAGTTAAGAGTAAAAATATATTTTTCTTTGATTTTATGATGTTTTTATCATGTTACTTTAGTATACTATTATACACTTTATTTCAAGTATTTTGACAGTAAGAAATTAGATTTTCTCGAGTTAATTTTTTCTACTTAAAATTTTTGGTATATGAAATGATTTGAGGCTTTTTTCTCATTTACAATAGTTATATAAATGTTTTAAAATACTAATTTATATATCTCTCCGAAGTTAGAAATTAAATAGAAAAACTTTAGTGAGTATAATGTTATACGTACAGATTCTACTAGTAATTCTAGCAATTAAAGTATCATCCAAGTACTGCATTAAATCATAATTATTTACTATTGCATTTACATGTGCATACTTCATAGCATGACAATGGAAAAGTTTTGATATATAAAAGTTACATATCTTAAATATTATTAGTGCTTTATTATATTCTATTTTTGTCTCATCTATCTTATATGGATATATTAGTGATTTTGATCATCCTAAAAGAGAGTGCGAGAGATTATGTTGTGATGTTATTTTTTTTTTTTTAAATTTTGGACTCACTTGCTATATGCAGGTCTAAGAGGTTAACGAGAGTTATAAGTTGAAGTGGAGTTATAAACATGTATCAAGACATGTGCATTATAATCATACATTGCATATTATGATAATTTAATGAATCAAGTATAAGTGATATTCTGAGCTGAATTTTAATGATTTTTGAATCTTTGTATAAACTTTGATGAAATGGGAAAGTCAACTTAAAGTAAAAATCTAAAAATAAATGTTATTTGAAATATTTGAAATTTCTATGAAAGTTATTGTAAAAGCTAAGTGATAAATCTGAAATAGAATTGATGAATATTAAAAAAAAAAGAGATAAATCTATGAAGTAATTTTTTTTATCCATTATTAAAAAAAAGAGAGATGATTTTAAGAAATATGAAGTAGACACATTTTTATTTTTTGTTAAATTTACTTCAAATTAAATAAACTAATTTTTTTTATACAAGAATAAAATAAAAAAGAGTTTTGTAGATGCGTTGATAAAAATTAATTTAATCATTTTATAGATTTAGTTTAGAATAAATATAACAAAAATATCAATAAAATTCTATATTTTATTTATAAGGACGTTGAACAGCCGAGCATTCATTCAGCTCCGGCGAAAGTTCGCGGCTTGCACGATGGAGAGAGCCACAGTCGCCTCTCTTCTCGTTTTCTTCTCATGCCTGATTTCTTCCTCGCTCGCTGTAACGTCTGGGTATCTCCGTACCTTTCCGATTTTTCCTCTTCTAAACCCTAATATATATTCTCTTTTATTGAGCTATTGTAAAGGATTCTCTGTAATCTCGCAGTTCGGCGGATGGATACACCATCACGGGTCGCATCAAGATCGATGGTTAGTCTCAGTACTTTTTTCTTGCTTCAAATTTATAGTTTAATTTAGGATCTAGCGGGACTGGTTTGATATCGCTTCTTTCGTACTTTCAAATCTTGTTTAGTAAATAGGGGATAAGATGTTTTATGCTAAAGTTATGCTTTGCAGAATTATTGCGGTTAGTTGGTCCTTTGAATGCATTTTGTCACTTATTATGAATGTTGACGTTGAAGCTTGTTTCTCCTTGATTCTAAGTTCAATCGCCTAAATTCTCTTAATCCCAAGTGCTTGTGAGCTGGCCGTGTCAAGATCGCATGATCTTATCATTTTTTTCTTTGTTTCGTAGTCTATAATTTAGGTTTTTAACCCTTCAGAGCCTTTAAAGATTTGAAGTAATAGAGTGGTGATGAGATGTTTTCTTAAAGGTTGTGCTTTGTAGAATCATTTTTAGATGCAGTGACTTGGATCATGGACACCAGCAGTATTGTTAAAAGAAAAAATCAGAATGCAGCAGAGTGGTACTTCAGTTGATTTCAGTGGTCTGGATAGGGAAGTTGAGTCATAACTCAGACTTCCAGGTAGGGTTCGGCATTGGCATGAAAGAGCTGGAGGAACTGGGTAATGCAGAAAGAGAGCTACGATAAGAGATAAAGGTTGACTCAGGTAATCTGGATCACCAAATCAATTGGAGATGCATTGCTTTATGCAATTGAAACTTTGTTTCAAACTATGTTTAAGACAAAGGAGTGCAATGGCGGGATCTTCAAGATTGAAATAGAAAATTTCATTCATCAATAGCCGAGTTCTAATAACATAAAGAGCTATTTATACTAGGCTGTAAACCAAATAGCTGCCGTACTCCACGAGGTATTTTTAGATAAAAGAGGTAAAAAAAATAGAAAGTGACAATAAAGGGGAATTACATGAAAAATGAATGCTTACTGTATGTATGAATTCAATTTGAAGATCCACTCAATTTGATCTAGAATCAACTAATGTTTAATTCTCCACGAGCACAGTCGGAGAATAGAAGTGGTCAGGCTTGTCCAACATATATGCTGGAGTAGATTGAGACTAGCTACCAAGCCTTTGAAAGGGAAGAATGCATATCAACTATAACAACATATGAGAAATACTAGAGATTGGGGACTCATAAGTTCGAGATAAAAAATTAGCATGAATCAATTCTCTACTTCATCACATAGCAGATCCATACTTCGCATAATATAAGTCATTAGTTACTTCAATGTGGCTTACCTCTGCCACAGTACAACATTGAACCCAAAGATTCCAAACTTTTAGGAAGGGTGTTAATTTTTAGATGTGCATTATTGTTTTCAGCGAGTCAAGAGTTGAAGATGAAGGTTATTTACCTTTGGAACTTCCTACTAATGGGTTTGGGAATTAGGATAGAAGAAAATATTAGTACAAATAGTGAAATTGCATGAAACTAAATGTAGGATAGCATTAAGCTGAATGAGTAAGTGTACAAGTGGAGGAAGGTAAGGCTGAAAATATGAATTTTAACGCCTTAAAAATGAATTTTTCTAGTAGGGAGTTACAGTGAAGTATGTTGTTTGTAGATGCTTTTGTCATTGTCAAGGTTTAAAATTACGCAACTAGGTATTAAGATATTTTTTGTTCATGAGACAAGGCATAATTCTCAAGATGTTTTGAAGGCGTAAGCCTCAAAATTCAAAAGTTGCGTAAAGTGAAAATAAATGTTACAAGTACATTTATATATAATACTCAAATAATATATCAAAGGATGAAATATTAACTTTCTATTGAATTATGAAGTAACAAATTGACATGCATATAAAATAAAAAATTTCAAAAGACGTAAAGCGACAAGTGATAAATTGAATGAAATAGATTTGAAATCGAAATATTACAAGAGCAAACCAACATAAAGGATATGAATTGTATAAAAAAGTATCATATAATATAAAGTTCAACTCCAAATTTTTTCTTTTCCTGTTCCATGCTCATCCAAATTTAATTCCTATAGAAAGTTGAAATAGTTGGTAATAACTCAAAAATTATCTGCACTGTCATCACTAGGGGATCTTTATTTGAGTCGTCGTCATAACAAATTAGTCTATCTCTTGTATCTTCCTGTGGAGTCTAATGCATCCCAATCTACTTCATCTTCATTTATTTCAACCATCTTCCTTTTTCATAAATGTTTGTCATCAACATAATGATGAGAGTAATACTCTAAAATTTTTAGATGATGTCATGGTGGTGTGTGGCTTTCAAGTAATCCGTGATGATGACTATGATGATGGTGGCTATAGTGAAGGCTGTAGGCTGGAGGTTGAGGCAGTTGAGTGAAAGTTGTTGTGGCTCGAGGTTGTATGAATGCATGATTTGTTCGAGGCTTTAGGGATTTCGATAAGTTTTAATAAAAAAATATCTAAATAGGGTGAGGCGTACCTCACGCCAGCAAGATGAGGCTTGCCTCAAGGCGGGCCTTAGCTAAGCCGATGCGTATGTCTCATAAAAAAGCTTGAGGCGTAAGTCTCGAGATATTTTTCACTATAATTGTGCTAAGGCGTGCCTTAAGGTGAGCCTCATATTGCACAATTTTAAACAATGATCATTGATACCATGAGAGTTTCTCGTTCTACTGTTTGGCTAGCAATAGGCTATTAAAAGTGCTTAATCCATACGAATAATCTTATAAGAAAGAAGATCAAGATGTTTTATTAGTGATGAAATGTTTTGAATGTGGTTTTGATTAGCCTGAGTTAGGGGTGTAAGTGAGCTGAGTTTGCTCACGAGCCAGATCAAGTTCATTTTAAAGAGCTCGCGCGTCAAGCTTATTAAGTCACGAGTTCAAGTTTGAGCCTATACTCGAGCTCATATAATAAACGATCTCGAGCTCAGTCTAGCTCATTGAATCGTTCGATAGCTCGTTGAAACACTCGATTAACTTAAAGTATATTTAAAAATTAATTTAAATTAATATTATATAATATATTTAAAAAAATTTAAATTAATTTTATATTAAAAATAATGTTATTAAAAAATATACATATATATTTTAATTTAAAACTAAGAAATCGAGCTCAACAATTGAGTTAAGCTTGATTTTTTCAAATGAGTTCGAGCCTATAAATTTTTTAACTAGTCAAGCTCTAGCTTAGTAAACGATCTGGAGTTGAGCTCAAGCTCAATAAGAACTTAACAAATTGGCATCATCCGAAAAAAATGAAGAGTGGGATGCAAATTTTTTCCATGTGGCATCATCTGGAAATTTAATTTTCATTGCAAGTAAACTTGACCTGCAAAGTTGTAAAAAGGTAATGGGGAAAACATATAAGGAGAAATTCATAGTGACCGTCATGAATAGTTTGATGAGCATCTTTAGAATGCATCCTAACTTGCTAAGAGGCAAAACAAAAATGAAGTTTGGAAAAAAAATTCTATATAATTCATCTAAAAATTAATGTACTATTGGAATAATAATTTTATCTTTAATGTTGAGTATATTACGAGTTTTAGAGTTAATGCAAACATGCCAAGTACCATTAGCATCTTTTTGAAAATGTGGAGAATGATAAGGATGGATGTTAATTGTCTGAGAAAAAGATGGAAGATGAATACATTGATCAATGGTACAAGGTTGAGGTGAACCTTTCGGTGGCTGAAATAAATGTTGAGTTTGTTTGAGCATGGTAGAATTGGATAAAGGTTGATGATGTGAAAGAAACGAGAAACTTGATGTGGAAGGTGGCGGCTGTAGAGAAGGGATTCAGTTAGTGGAACTAAGAATGCGGGTGGAAGAGAAATTATCTTGGAGTGGAGAATGTGGACGGTCATACACAAACTATTAAGTTTATTGTTTATAGAATCCATGAAATAATGGATTTGTTGAAGGGATGAGCCAATGGAAGCAAATTGAATATCTGCTTGATGAAGTGATTTCTGAATTTCTAAAAAATGGGATTCTTGATGTGATTGCATGGATCGTAATGCATCAGCCAAATAAGAATTCTTCATGGTGATGGGTCTCAAGATGATGGAAATTGGAAATATGCAATTCTTGAGAACAAAAAAATTGGTATCTGTAAGAAAGAAGAACATCTAGTAGAAATATGTATTTGGAAATGCAAAATAAGTAAGTGATTCGAAGGAACAGAGAACTTGATGCGGTCTTGAAAAGAAAATTTGCAAGAGGTGGAGGACCGGTTGATTGCAAGAATTCGTAGGTCTTGAAAAAAACTGCAGATGGAGTTGTTGTAATGTTCTTGAATGGGAAAACTGCAGGTTTAGAGAAAAACTGCAACTGTTTGGTCTTGAAACTGCAGATCTTAGAAGGTTAAAACTGCAATTCTTGAGACAAACAACTCCTAAAACAATGTGGAATTGCTGAAGATTGAATGTGAGAACGTCTGGTGGCTGGAAAGAGGGCTATTATGGCTGAAGGAACCGTCCAAACAGGTTCTTGGAGGGGACTCTGTGGCTTAGGGGCGTTGGCTGCCATAGAATGCTGAAAGGAGGTATCAAAACAGCTGAAAGAAGCTGTTTATTGTCAAAATAATTCAGGGAATGTAGATGGATTGTGCTTTTCTGTTTCTTGAAAACAGCAGGTGCAATTAGCTGGTGGTTGTATCTAAAACAATAGCTGGAATAGGTGGACTGCTGCTGTTTTTGAAGGTTTTGGGTGGAGAAGAAGTGGCGTGAGACTGCGGCTGGAAGAAGTCTAGGCAGAACCGAAAAGCGGTGTCCAATATTGCTAAAGAAGCGCGGCTGGAAGCTGTGTTTGGAAGGTTAGCTGCTCGTCTGACTGGAGACTACGGCTAGAAAAGCTGACATTGGATGGCACATGGACAGATGGTAAGGAGGGATGCCAATCGGCATGAAGAGGAAATGGAATTTGAGGTTAGCGCAACAAGAGCACTATTTGTTATACTTCTTGATTGACATCAAGAAGGGAACGACATTGTTTGAGTAGGTATGGACCCCATAAGGAAGAAGAAGGAAAAGAAGAGGCTAGAAAAGGAGAAATGAGAAATCTTTCATTTCACGTGTCTTTCATTACAATAGGAGAAATATTTATAATGCTTCAGGAGATAATGTTCTTACTAGACATTTGCAAGAGGATGTACCTTGGTATGCTTTTCGCTGATGATATTCTTCTTATTTATAAGATTAGAGAGGGAGTTGAAGGTAAAATTGAATTATGGAGGTCAATCTTAGAGTCTAAAGGTTTTATAAGACTAGAGAGGGACTTGAAGGTAAACTTGAATTATGGAGGTCAATCTTAAAGTCTAAAGGTTTTCGCTTGAGTAGATCTAAAACTGAATATATGGAGTGTAATTTTAGTAGTGATAGACCTAGTGGGGGAATTGTAACTTTGGGTGATCAAGTCAATAATAAGAGTATACATTTTAAATATCTTGGATCTATTGTTCAGCGTGATGGTGAAATAGATGGGGATATTTGATGGGGACATCGGAGCTTGGAAAGTCTATTAGAGGCGTGGCCGCCGATCTACTGCTACGATAGCGCTGATGTATTTTTAAGTTGTCATATATATTTATCTTTTATTTATTTATGCTTGTATTTGCTTTAGTTATTTTTCCTTTTTACCCCTTACTTAAGGGTGGTCATGTGTAAGGCCAATGGGCATCGTCGTCTTTTATTTTGAGTCCTTTGTATGAGGCTATACATAGCTCTTATGTTCTCTTTTCATGTTTAATGAATGAATGATAAAATTTTTCCCGTGTTTGAGTTCTTGTGAGAGCTTGAGAGAGATTGGAGAGAGATCCCTTGGAGAGGGAATCAGATCACCCACCAACATTGAAAGTGTCCGGGTTTGTGGTTCTTTCTTCCCTATCTTTCTTCTCCATATTCCCTTCCCCTATTAGCCGTCGGCCAAGGATTCCCCACCCCTAAGCCGCCGACCACCTTAGCCATCACCCACCAACATTGAAAGTGTCCGGGTTTGTGGTTCTTTCTTCCCTATCTTTCTTCTCCATATTCTCTTCCCCTATTAGCCGTCGGCCAAGGATTCCCCACCCCTAAGCCGCCGACCACCTTAGCCATTCACTCTCACCGTTGGCTAGCTCCCAATCCCCACCTTACACCCGAACCCACCTCCCTCCACCACCACTCACGGCCAAGTCCATACCGCCGGCCCCTCCCCTTGGCTTTCCCTCCACCTTCAACTTGCCATCAAGCCTTTCCTAATTTAGCTTTTCATATTTTAGGTAATTCTATTAATGATCAAATTCAAATCTGTTTGAATTTGAAATTGTTACATAAATTATAAATCATATTTTAGAAAACTTTTCAATTCATATCCTATTTAAATTTTAAATTAAATTGGGATGAAATCCTTCATTCCAAATTTAATTTATTAATATAAGAAAGCATTGAATGCCTCCTTAAATCCCACCCCCCTCTCCCTATTGTCGCTGGCCCCCCTCTTGGATTCCTTTGGAATTATTTCCAAAATCCAAACAACCCTCTTGGCAATAATTCAAATCTCCCCTCCCCATCTCTTGGCTGAAATCCCCAAGGTCACCACCTCTATTTCTTTCCAAACCCACCTCTTCTCTTTTGGGAATTAAATCCCAAGCCCCACTACTCCACCCGCCCCCCTCCTTGTGGCAAACCTCCTTTAAATTTCTTTCCAAGTCCAAGAGACTTTGATTTGAAAATTAATCTCAGCTTTTCCCTCCAAAATCACCTCTTTAAATCCCACTCTAGCTCCACCCAATCGCTGAATTTCCAAACCCTAATCCTCCCCTACTACTAGGCCGGCCACCTCCCATGTCTTCTCCATTACAACTATTGGGAGAAACTTCTTTCTATATAGTTGAGTCTTCAAGGGAAGTAACAACTATCATCGTCCACACATCAACTCTTCAAAACCAATGAATGGCCGATCCGAAACTTGATTACGTATTCGCTTACGACGAGCAAGGGAACGTCAACATCCTCCACTCCACCTTCGACTTCAACCCGGAAGTCGATAACTCCGTTAAAGACTATTTGGATCGCATCATCTTCACACTTTCTGAGGTCATTGACGAACAACTTGCCAACGCCCAATGACAAATTGTTTCTGGACACAATGAGGGCGAACTTCTTCCCCTATTCATTTATCTTCTTACTCCGCTAATCTTATAGGTGGTGATCCAATCGCAAGGAGTCGTGCCTCGCCCTTTGCCCCCTGCTTAGTAATCATAGGCATTGAGTTTTACTTTCTATGTTTCTACTCTCATTGTTAACATAGGGATTTTTGTTGAATAACTACTTAATTTGTATGTTGTTGAAATTCTAAATTGTTTTGATGATTCAAGTACTTAGCATGCGATTTGGCCTAAGCGTAACTACCACTCTTATGCTTTCTATTATCGTTTAGTGGCTAATAGTCTTAATTGTTATTTGCTCTTATCAAAATCGTGCAAGTTCTTATTGCATTAATCTAAAGCATATTTAGTCCTGCATCAATATTATTAGTAGAATTCAAGTTTCATGGTTGAAGTGGAGGAATGCATCGGGCTTATTGTGTGATAGAAAAGTCCCCCTCAAACTTAAGGGAAAATTCTATAAGATAGTGGTGAGATTTACAATGTTTTATTGTGCAGATTGTTGGCCATTAAAATAGAAGCATAATACTAAGTTAAGTATTGCAGAGATGAGGATGCTCAGGTGGATGAGTGGATTTATCCTTAGAGACATGATATGAAATGAGCATATACGTGAGAAGGTTGGAGTAGCTCCTGGGGAAGATAAGATTAGAGAGAGTCGCCTTAGATACTTTGGTCACATAAAACGACGGCCTTCCGATGACCTGGTTAGGAAAGTAGATGTATTAGATTTGACTTATATTAAGAAAGGTAGATGTAGACCTAAAAAGACTTGGTTAGAAAATATTAAAAATGATCTTTCTTTATTAGATTTAAATGAGAATTTGACTTTTAACAGGACACAATGGATAAAAAGGATTCATGTACCTGTCCCACGTAGTGGGACAAAGGCTTGTTGTTGTTGGGGAGATTAAGTTTACAATATAGAACTGATATAGTTAATACAAACTTAAAGTATTATACAAAAAATAAACTATTGCTTATTTTATATATATATATATATATATACTATTTGGTTTGTACTTTATTTGACTAAAGATATATTGCTAGTGTATAACAGAAGGCCAATGGGTAGACTAGAGGCAACATAGATAGATTTTGTATAAAAAATTTGCGCAAAATAGGTTTGGCGCTTCGTGTAACACTCGACAAACAACAACAACAACATCATCAAGCCTTTAACACTCGACAAAGATTTATGAAAAATGAGAATTTATAAAGTCAAACTCAAAATATTGGGATACTCTAATGCTGATTACGACCTTGTGCTATTTTTACAAAATGTGAGTCGAGAAATAAAAAATAGTATTCAGGTGCAGTTGCATTAAAAATAAATGTACTCATTAAACTAAGCAATTGATGCTGAAAACACCCAGTGTGGTTGATTTGGAATTAATTGGATGCTTGACTTGAATTATGGAGTTCATCTTCTGGCATTTGTTATTAATATGGCAGCTAGTGTTTCTTGTAGGTTTGTTGTACCGCCAATGATTAAATCTAAAGATGCTGGCTGCGTTCCTTTGTTATAATTTTAAAATGTATTGTTTAGTTTTTAATGTTTGCTTTAGATTTCTACTCTTTATCTATGGCCTAGTACTACAAAGTTGAGATCTGCTCTTTTGTCGTTCAGGTTATATTCTTGTTTGCCAGGTTAGAATAATTAATTTGTTTCCTAACTGATTTTTGGATTACCATGTTTTTTTATGCTTGATAAAATTATTAGATTTGGCATCTTTTGGAGTAGTGCCATTTGTTTAAACTATGTCCTCTGTTGATTGTATATTCTGTCTTAATCTTGATTTCGTGAGGTGGGAATGCGGGAATTGGATATGATCAAAGCTCAGATACATGAGTTTTGCGAACTCTTTTTGCTTCAATCAAGATAAAATAACTCATTATATCACTGCCTTGCGCAAAAGATATCTTTGTTTTATTATAATTTTTTTATGTACAATTTTTTGGTATATACCTGATGTTTTGACAAATAATACATAGATTTTAGATCAATAACTATTTTGGTCTTGTATATTTGAGTTAGTTCTAATACAGTGTCTGAAACAAAATCTATTTACAGGTATTGGGTCAAAGGTATTTGGACATTCCTCCAAGTTATCTAATATCAAGGTCATACTTAATGGTGGTCAGACAACTACTTTTGTTAGAGCAGATGGTTACTTCTCATTGTATCCTAGTGACTTTGTTTTTGAATTTCTTTTTTTCCCATCCAATTAACCGTAACGATTCATGAATCTCACGGTATTAGTAGAATTCCATTCTCACTGATTTGGTGAGCACCTTATTTCTTCCTTGTTCTAATCCCCGGTTTCACCATCTTATCAGAATAATCATTGAAAAACAATAATCATATCTTGTTCGCCCATCTGCTCTTGCTTCATCAGTGTTGGATCAAGATAATTAGATAAGAAATTTTTAAATTAGTTTTTATTAGTAATTGGTGGTTTGACAGGTTGATGCCACTTCTGTGTTGTGTCTAAATTTTAAAAACTCTTTATATTCAGCATATTTTAGTTCATTAAGGCTTGCAGGTTTAGATTTGTGACATGCCATAATACACCATGCCATTAATATTGATGGTGTATCATACTCTTTTTCACTTAAGAAAACCAATCTGGTATTTTGGGACCCTTGTACCTACCATACCGTATATAAAGAAGCATGGAGGGTTTAAAGGTTCTTTAGAACAAGAAATTACATTTCAAATATTGGAATGTGATTTACAAGATAATCCATTGGTGGATTTATTTACTTTTTATTTGAGTAGTCTCTTGTTTTTCTTTACCGCCATGCTTAAGCTGCAACATCCCTGCTGGTACTCATCTGATTGAGGTGGCTGCAATGGGCTATTTATTTTCTCCTGTAAGATCTTCTCGCTATTAGACATATTCAATTCACCAAGACAAAAACGTGAGCAAATTCTTTGTAAGTTCTTCAGGTTCGTGTTGATATAAGTGCTAGGAATCCTGGTAAAATCCAGGCAGCGTTGACTGAAAATAGGAGAGTTCTACAGGAGTTAGTTTTGGAACCTCTAAGAGAAGAGCAATACTATGAGGTACGTTTGATTTTTGGCTTAAAGTTAGCTATTCATATGTACTGATGATTTATTTGGTTATTATACTTGTAGATGAGGGAGCCATTTTCTATAATGTCTATCGTGAAAAGTCCTATGGGTTTGATGCTTGGTTTCATGTTCCTTGTTGTGTTCCTCATGCCAAAGTTGATGGAGAATATGGGTATGTACCCATCCTTTAATGCTTGCTTGTTACATATTTTATTCTTAGAGCCGAGTATTTAACTTCTTGTGATGCATTTATTTGATACATTTGTGTGTTTATCTTTGAAAGATAGGCCGTTATCTCCTATTTTGGTAACAGATTTAACAATATGAACGCGTACTGAAAATGAATGCATGTGTATACAAAGACCAGGCGTAGAGGTTTCACATAACATTTTCAAATTAACATTGTTTTTTGTTTTTAACATTGTAACACATAAGATGGCGGTTATCCTACTGAATTGAGAAAATAACAGTAATATCCTCTTTTTATTTCTCAATTCCTCCATCAGCAAGTGGCCTACATTGTTGGTTGCTTGAAGTCTTAACAATTAAGGAAACTTTCCTCTTTTTGGTGCCACACATCTATTGGAAAGCCCTATTAACTGAGTTATGCATGGAGTTGCAATTATGCATCTTAGACTCAGCAAGAAATGACGGTCAATGATGTGGTCCCCCCGAGGGGGGTGGTGGGGGGTGCTGCCTGGTTGGATAGGGAGTAGAATTAAAAGAGTGGATCACTTATCAAAGGAGAAGGTGGGGAAAGTGGGGAAAAACATGAACTAAATTCAAGTTTTTGAGGGAAAATAGGGAGAATTATATTCGACATTTTGGTGGTATTATTTCTTCATGCAGATGTTGTAGTTGTTCTTCTTGTCCACTATTTTTGTGAGGGATTCTAGCAGCATCTAGAGTTTGGGAGAGGTCCTCCCGAAAGAGGACCATTATATCTTGTATATTCGTGTTTGCTTTCTTATCAAGAAAATCTGATTAGTTTGCTGAAATTTACTGTTTGTTCGTTTATTTTTGGAGTTCAAGTCCTTGCAAATGGGTATCAGAGCAATTTCTTGGGACCGATGGTTGGGATAAGAGTTGAGGTGTTAGAAGAAAAGTTGGAGGGGGAAGTAGGACAACTGCGAATGGATGTGGGATTGTTGAATGAATATTTTTCAATGATGGAAGGTTTGAGAATCTAGAGGAGATGATGAAGTGGATGTTGGAGTTTCAAACTAAAGCGGCTCCTCCGGAAGCAAGGGGGAATAAGGAAAATTTTAGGAGAAGAGGATGGAATACCTCTCCTTGAGCCTTTACTGAGAAGGGGGATGTATAGAGAATATGGAGGCAGTATGGAATGGGAATAAGAGAATAGGCGGGCTGAATTTGAAGGAAGAGGGAGATACGAAAGTAGAAGGGAGGAGAGGGAACCGTGGAGAGATCTCAATACTCACTTCATGGGAGGCATGACAGGCGGAAGGGGAAATTGGGGCGGAGGAGATCCGAAGTTTAGGAAGTTGAAAATGGTGGTGTTTGAAGGCGAAGATGAGCATGGGTGGATCTATAGAGTGGAGAGGTAGTTTATGGTGAATGGGTTAATTGAAGGTGAGAGACTTATGGCAACAACTCTATGTCTTGAGGGGAAGGGACTGTCATGGTACCAATGGAGGGAGATGAGGTTCTTGATCTGTTCATGGTAGGAGTTTATGGATTGCTTGTTGGAGCATTTTCGAACCAAGCAGGATGGGGATTACTATGAGCAATTCTTTGCATTAAACAGGGAGGCACTGTGATTGAATATCAAGAAAGATTTGAGCTTCTGTCAAGTCGGGTAGGGAGGTTTTCAGAGGCAGTGTTGGAGAGCAATTTCATGAAAGGCCTCAAACGAAAGTTGAGAGCAACGGTGCGGGTGGCAAGGCCCCGTGATTTGGGGGAGGAGATGGAGTTAGCTTAGCTGATTGAGGACAATAATTGACTGCAGAGGAGTAGTAAGGGTGTCAGCTTGGGAGGTTCTTATCGCACGACGGCCACTTTCTTGGCACCTAGGGTGCAGACTATACCAGTTCAAAGGGAGGCTCCAAAGGAGGGTGGTTCGGGAGTCCGACAGGGAGGGAATTTTAAGAGGTTGTCTGATACAGAATTGCAATACAAGAGGGATAAGGAGTTAAGTTTCAGATGAGATGAAAAATTTACACTGGGACATAGATGTAAAAATCGTACCTTGCAGGTTCTCTTTGTGTGATGAGGAGGAGGTGGATAAAGTAGAGGCAATAAGGGAGGATGTAGAGGAAGAGAAGCCATTACACTTGGAGGTGATTGAAGTTTCATTGAACTTTATCTTGGGATTCACCCCGAATCACACTATGAAGGTTAGGGCACAAATAAGAGGAGAGGCAGTAGCGATCTTGGTGGACAGTGGGGTGGCTACACAATTTTATATCAAACCATGTGGTTGACTAAGTTGGGTTGAAACTATTGGACACTAGATGTTTTAGAGTGATAATGGGCATAAGAAATGTGGAGAAGAGTAGAGGGATCTATCAAGGTTTGGTGGTAGAGCTATAGGGGATTCACATCAAGGAGGATTTTCTTCCATTAGAGTTGGGAAATACTTATTTAATTTTGGGAAGAAAGTGGTTACAAACCTTGGGGGAGACCAAGGTAAGCTGGAAGGCATTAGCTATGAAAATCCAGGTGAAGGGGAGGAAGGTGGTAATTAAGGGAGACCCAAGCTTATACAAAGTAATGGTTTCTTTGAAAACTATGATTCGTGCCATACAAGAGGAATGAAGGGGATTCTTGATGGAGCTCCAGAGCTTGGAGGGAGGTGGGACAGAGGAGATAGAGGACATTCCAAACATTGTCTAGCCACTACTTTGGCACTTCAGGGAAGTATTCCAACTTCCCCAGGGATTGCCACCCCCATGGGAACACAAGCACTCTATAGTTCTGAAGGAAGGAATCTCTCCCATTAACGTCTGGCCATATCACAACCTTTAGATCCAGAAGGATGAGATTGAGAGGTTGATTCGGGAGATGGTTGAAGCTGAAATCATCAAGCTCAGTGTGAGTCATTTGTCTAGTTGTGTATTGTTGGTGAAGAAGAATTGAAGTTGGAGGTTCTGTGTAGATTATCGTGCCTTGAATAAGGAAACTGTACCAGACAAATTTCCTATACCAGTCATTGATGTGCTGTTAATAAGTTGCATGGATCTATGATATTCTCCAAGATCAACTTGAAATTCGGGTACCACCAGATTAGAATGCGATCGGGAGACACCCACAAGATAGCTCTCAGGACACACGAGGGACACTATGAGTTTGTGGTGATGCATTTTGGCCTCACTAATACATCAGGTATTTTTCAAACTCTGATGAATAGGGTATTTCAACCCTACTTGCGAAGGTTTGTGCTGGTATTTTTTGAAGATATATTAGTATATAGTAAGTCTGAGGAGCACTTGGAGCATTTGTGAGTTGTGCTATCTATCTTAAGAGCGCACTTTGTTTGCCAATCGGATGAAGTGTTCTTTCGCCTAACCCAGAGTGGAGTATTTAGGACATTTGGTGTCTTAGAAGGGAGTAACAATTGACTAGAGTAAGATTAAGGCCATGCTCAGATGGCTCATACCTAAGACATTGAAGGAGTTGAGAGGATTCTTGGGACTTACAGGCTACTATTAAAAATTTGTGAAAGAATACAGTTCTATAGCAGGGCCGTTGACGGAACAGCTCAAAAAGGATAACTTCAACTAGGGAAGTCTACCAACCAGGCATTTGAGGAGTTGAAGAAGGTTATGATCAGTGTGCCAGTTTTAGCTCTTCTAGATTTCGGCCAACCTTTTGTAGTTGAGACATATGCCTCAGATTTTAGGTTGGGAGCGGTACTCATGCAGAACGAGAGACTTGTGGCCTATTTCAGTTAGGGGTTGACAGCCAGGGCAAGAGTCAAGTCAGTCTATGAGAGGGAGTTGATGGCGATTGTGCTTGCCATTCAAAAATGGTGGCCTTATTTATTGGGAAGACATTTCATCGTCAGAACTAACCAGAGGAGCTTGAAGTATTTATTGGAGCAGAGAATCATCACTGAGCAGCATCAAAGATGGCTTTCCAAGTTATTCGCTTATGACGTTGGGATTTAGTATCGACCTGGAGTTGAAAATAAAGTAGCAGTTAGTTTATCCAGGTACATGTGAGAGTCCCATATGATGGCATTGTTTGTGTCCTTAGTAGTTGATTGGGAAGCATTGAGGAGAGAGAGAGAGAGTGAAAAGGATGCGGGGTTAATGAAAATTAGGGAGGAGCTGGTGGAAAATAAAAACAACCATCCAGGATATTCAGTGGTGGGATAGAAGTTGCTTCATAATGGGCGGTTTGTGCTTCCAAAAACATCTTCTTACATTCCCTGCTTGTTTCAAGAGTTTCATGGGATGACCATTGAGGCATATTCGGAGGTAAAAAAGACATATCACAGATTTTCTGCAAAGCTGTTGGGAGGGTATACAGAAGGATGTAAAAGAAGATGGTGGCTAGCTGTAATATATGACAGAGGCATAAATATTTAGTTATGTCTTCAGGAGGGTTCCTACAGCTGTTAGCTCTTCCAAAAAAGGTGTGGGAGGAGGTGACCATAAACTTCATTGAAGGGCTGCCAAAGTCAGAAGGATACACTAGGATACTGGTGGTAGTGGATTGATTAAGTATGCTCATTTCATTCCCTTTTGCTACCCTTATACAATAGTATTAGTAGCAATATTTTTCATGAGATATCGAAATTGATTATATCTGATCGAGACAAGATCTTTGTGTTAGTTCTGGAATGAATTGTTCAAGATGCAGGGGACCGTTTTGAAAGGAGCATTGCTTATCATCCTCAGATGGATGGATAGACAGAGGTGGTCAATCGTTGTGTGGATACTTATTTTCGATGCTTTGTATCAGATATACCAAAGTTGTGAGAAAAATGGTTGGCATGGGCTGGGTAGTGGTATAACATTTTCTATCATTTGATAGCTTAGACAATACTGTTTGAGGTGTTACATGGAATATATCCGCTTCACTTGATATATGATTGACAAGGCAGCACACTGGTGGCATCAGTAGAGCAATACTTTGAGGACAGAGGCATGATATTGGTGGAGCAGAAGGGGCGTTTTTTGAGAGCTCAACAAATTATGAAGAGACAAGTAGATGCATACAGGAAAGACATTCATTTTCAGGTGGGGATAGGGTTTACTTGAAGCTTCAATCCTATAAATAGAGTACCTTGGCACAGAGAAGGAATGAGAAGTTATTACCTTGTTATTTTGGTCCTTACAAGATAGTGGAGTGTATTGGTGATGTGGATATTGCTTACAATTACCATCGTCATCAGGCATTCATCCAGTGTTTCATGTGTCCTAGTTCCGACGTGTGATAGGAGAGCATATTCCGTTTTCCGCACTTCCCATGACATTGACGGACGATATGGAGGTGTTGTTAGAACCATTGGATGTTGAAGGAGTGCGCCAGGGAGTAACAGGAAGCAAAGAAGTGTTGATTAAGTGGAAAAACCTACCAAAGTATGAAGCCACGTGGGAGTTCTATCAGATTATTCAGCGGCAGTTTCCTTCATTCCACATTGAGGACAAGGTAGTACTTTTCGGGGGAGTATTGATGGACCATTGGTCAAGGATTTGGGCCCAAGTGTGGGGGGTGGCTGCCTGGTTGGCAAAGGAGAAGAATTAAAGGAGGGGATCAGAAAGGGAGTAGAATTAAAGGAGTGTATCGCTTATCAAAGGAGGTGGGGGAAAAATATGGCGTAAAGTTAGGTTTTGGGAGAAAAATAGGGAGAGTTATATTTGGCCTTTTGGTAGTATTATTTTTGTTCATGTAGATTTTGTGAGTGTTCTTAATGTTCATTGTTTTTGTGAGGGATTCTAGCAGCGTTTAGAGTTTGAGAGAGGAAGGCCTCCTCTCGAAAGAGGACCATTGTATATTGCTTGTTCGTGTTTGCTTTCTTATCAAAAAAATCTATTTATTTTGTTGAAATTTACTATTTGTTCATTGATTTTTGATGTTCAAGTCCTAACAAATGGGTTGCTAAGTGAGTAATACTACTTGGATGTTCTTGGTTTCTCTACCTAAACTAAACATTTATCTGTACTGCTCTTTCATTTAGATGCAAAATGGATGATTTTCAATTTTGCATCTTATTCATAACCAAGAAAATTGGTTTCTCAGTTAGACGGCTAAGGATTTTTGCTTTCTCTACTTCAACAAAACCTTTATTAGTACTCTTTTTTCTTTTAGTTGCAACATGGATACCTAAAGCAACCCCTGATCTTTTTTCTGTACAAATTTAGAATGGGAAAGAATGGGAATGCCACTACGAACATGTTACATTCCGGCCATAATACCTACACCATAGCAAATCACATCAAAACCAGACGGATGGATTAGGCTAGATCATTCTATCACATTTTTCATCATTCATATTGAATCATCTTTATTTGTCATACACATCTACTAACACAATAAGATACATTTCTAGCGGATTAGATGAAGTCCTCTCATTCATCAAATATAGAAAAACTTATACATTTATCCATCATCTATACAAAAGACATTTAGACTTTAACTTTTATTTTAGGGAGTAATACATAAAACATGGATTTTAATATACTAAATGATGATGGATGACTCATCTAAATATGGAGTTCAATTTGTGCCTTTTTTCTTCAAATTTCAAATAATTGAACATTATACCAAACCAATCTTAATGAAAAAATGACTTGGTATTCGTTTGGAATGACTTTCTTATTGCTTCTTAAAACAGCTTTCTAGTATCAAAATTTTAATTTTTGTATTAAAAAATTACTTCAAGAAGCAGTAATAAAGCCGTTCCAAACGAAACCTTAATCTTCACCAAATGGCATAATCATCATCTAATCCTAGAGAAGAAAAGGAAATTAGAACAGATTGTCATTACATAAAAATATAAACAACATCAAAATGACAAGCTTGAATATAATGATCATTCTAGTCTATTCATCATGATATCGTAGCTATGAAAAAGGTGTGTGTGGCATAATATGAGCTTCCAGCCTGCGGGAGCTTTGACCTACACTATGAAATGGTCTGTTGTTGGTGACAAGGCCATAAACCAATAATTAGGGAAGAATTGCCAAAGTGGATTGGAGATATAATTTTACAATTGGAAGAAATTCTCTTTGAATGGGTGAAGAATGCCTGCTATTTATCCGAGCATAATGGAGTTAATCTAATTGGCCCAATTAGCCAAACATTCAGCGAGCTGAACCTTATATTTCAATCTCTATGATATTTCCTACATTTGATTGAATCTGTTTCCTTACCCTGACTAATTTTCACATTCAGATCCGGAAGAAATGAGGCGGGCTCAAGAAGAAATGAGGAACCAAGGCGTCCCATCTCTCTCAAACTTGCTCTCTGGAAGGACCAGTAATTCATAAACAAGCCAGTTTCATAAGAGAAATGTCCATTGGAGCTGAAATTTTCTTCTTTTTTAAACTATTGTGGCAATGCTAAGCTGGTTTCTGGCAAGATAGATAGAGACGTGAGATTTTGACATTTCTCGAATGATAAATTTGCTTCTTTGATATGCTCAAGTGGTACAACAGATTGTTTTCTCATTCTTATGTAATTGAAAGTTTACAAGTCAGGCTCTCATTGTAATAAAACTTTAATACTATATATTTTTTGCTTTTCACTTTAATTATTGGATTTTACTGATTAGGAATTATTAGAGTTGAATTTTAATAGTAATTTTTAGTACTTAGTTTAATGTGTACTCTAACTATATTAAAGATTTGTTTGAGATAACTGTAGCTTTTTATAAAGATAGTTGCATAGTTTTTATGGAGCAATTAATACTTTAAAAGCTGTTGTAGAAAGCAAAGCAGCCTTAAGACAAAAATTCTTAAAAGTAGCAATAATGAATAGTCAAATAGAGACAGTGGTTGTGGTTTGAAAAATAAAATAATAAAAAATTGATTCAACCGAATCTTAAGATTTTGTTTTGAATGACTTATTGCTTCTTAAAGTAGTATTTAAGTAAAAAATTTTAATTTTTATACTAAAAAATTATTTTAAAAAGCTAAAGAAAGCCATCACAAACGAAATCTAAGACTTTGGGATAGCTTATTGTTTTTCGAAGTCATTTCTTATTACATTTTTTTAATAAAAAGAAGTTTTAAAAAATATTAAGAAAACTATCACAAATGAATATTAGATTTCATTTTTGGTTGTCTTGGGAGTAGTAGGATAAATGCTCGTTGTGCTTGTATATTATTATCTTGATTTAATGTAAAATTTTAAACAACAACAACAACCTTTTGTCCTACTACATGGGGTCGGCTATATGAATTTTTTTCTCCATTATGTTATGTTAAAAGTCAAATTTTTGTTTAAATCTAATAAAAATTGATCATTTCTAATATTTCTAGCTAAGTCTTTTTAGGTCTACCTCTATCTTTCTTAACATAAGTGAAATCTAATATAAAATTTTAAAATATCCTAATTAATTACAAATTTTTATAAATATAAAAAAGATTAATTCCATAACTTTTTAATAGATTGATAGGTTTTATATATTTTTTATTCGAGCAATTTTTATTTGATATGTAATCCCTGCATCTCCCACCTACGACAAATTATTGCATCTGGTCACCGGTTGCGGAAAATAGGTTCGGATATCCAATAAAAGTTTGTCACGTCACCTGCACTTTACCTATAGTTTAGATGCGCTTTGACCTGCGCTTTAGATGCGCTTTGACCTGCGCTTTAGATGCGCTTTGACCTGCGCTTTAGATGCGCTTTGACCTGCGCTTTAGATGCGCTTTGACCTGCGCTTTAGATGCGCTTTGACCTGCGCTTTAGATGCGCTTTGACCTGCGCTTTAGATGCGCTTTGACCTGCGCTTTAGATGCGCTTTGACCTGCGCTTTAGATGCGCTTTGACCTGCGCTTTAGATGCGCTTTGACCTGCGCTTTATATGCGCTTTACCTGTGCTTTTGACACTCTTAATTTAAAATAATATTTTATTAATTTCTGGACCTATCTCCGCGTCCCGTGACCGGATGCAATAATTTGCCCCCACCTACGGATGTGTTTCATTTTCTTACCTTAAATATAAAATTAAATCAATTAATATTTAATAATAATTATTTTGTTATATAAATATGTCCAAGCCAACAAAATCATTACTCGTGGATGGAGGTGGAGCGATCGGATAAAAAAGGGGGGATTTACACACAAATCACGTATTTACTCATCAAATATATAAATTTTTATATTGATCTACGTAATATTTAAGTATTTAATTATATTAAATGTATACATAAAAATATATTTTATTAAAAAAAAATTAATGTTAATGATATATATGATGAGAAAAAATTGTTTTTTTGGCAGGCTTGCAATAAAATAATTAATTAAATGTTCTATAAATTTTTACATGTATTTTGTTTTTTTAATAAAAAATTTTATCCTACCGCAGTAGTCTATGTTTGTTTGTAAATTTATCTATTGTACTCATATAATATAGACATGTATTATTTAAAAAAAAAAACATATTTTTTATCTTATAAAAACAGAGGAAAATGTTAATATTTTTAGGCGCCATTGCTTTTCGCTGCTTTCAAGAATTTTTTTTTACTTGAAAGCTGTTTTAGAAAGCAGAAGAAAACTGTCCCAAAGAAGGCCTTATGGCTTGTTGTAAAGTTGCTGTGTAAAAAATAGTTTTTTAAAAGCTCTTGTAGAAAGTAGCTTGCCATCACAAAAATTTGGTTGGTATCTTAAACCAAAACATTAAAAAGCTGTCCCAAATCAAACCTTAATCGAAAAAATAAGATAAATATTTTTGGTCTCATTTGAACACATCAAAATTTGATTTTGATTAAAATAAATAAATTCACATTTCTTACACAGTTTTTTTTTAAGCAGATTCATTGTTAATCACCTTGTTTATTATTATTATCATTATTATTATATCAGATTATAACTGATGAATAGATTTTTTTTTTAATTACAAGGAAATATTACTAAATAGGAAAATTAATGAAAGGTTTCCCTTTCGAACGTATATATTTCCACTCTACCAACTTTTAGCGTTTTACTTCTTAGAAGAGCAAAGCGGGCACGCTTCAATCTTCCAACTTTGACATTTCTGCAAAGATATTTGAAGCTATCTTTTTACCAATATAATACCTTATTTTCATCTCAAATATTTAATTTTTTATTTCTTGGTCTGTCTGACATTTGTTGCCTGCCAACTACAGTCCCTCTGACCATCGTCACCCACCGACTATGGTCCCTCTGACCGTCGTCGCCCACCGACTATGGTCCCTTCGACCTCTGCCAACTGCTGACTATAGTCCCTCCAATCTCTATCGTTCGCCAATTATGGTCCCTCAAACTACCATCCCTCATAGATTACGTTCCCTTCGACTATCATCGCTCGCCGACAACCATCCCTTCGATGGTCCATCCGATCAATGTAGCCCACTAACTATGGTCCCTCTGACCACCATTGCCCATCGACTAAGGTCCCTCTGACCTCCATCATTTGCTGCCATCACTCGCCGGCTATAGTCTATCCAACTTTTGTTGCCCGTCGACTCTGGTCCCTTCGACCACCGTCACCCACCAAATATGGTCCTTCCTACCACGGTAGCCCGCTCATTACGATCCCTTCAACCTCCATCGCCTACCGACTACAGTCCCTCAAATCTCCATCACCAGCAGAGTACGGTCCCTCTGACCATTATCGTCCGTCGAATATGATCCCTCCGACCACCATGGCCCACTGACTACGATCCATCCGACCAACGTCGCTCATCGACTACAAACCCTCCGACCACCGTCTCTTGCTGACTATGGTCCCTTTAACCTATATTGGTCATCAAGCACTGTCACTCTAAGCTCCGTTGCCTGTTGACTACGGTCCATCCGACATCCATCGCCCGCCGACTATGGTCCATTTGACCACCGTCGCCCACAAACTATGGTCCCTCTGTCCTCTATCGTACGCTGACTATGGTCTCTCCTACCACCGTCGACTTGCCAACCAAATGAACATGCTAACTTTCTCTTGAGAATGACTCCTTTATCATTGGATTTTTCCAACCCCAACTATGTAATGTGCTCTATATGATACAATGAGCCAAGGCCTTTCCCCCGAGGAATGGGACCATTTGTAATCAACTACAAATACTAGTGGAATCTTTTCAACTGGGCCAGACTTCATTTTTCCCTTTTTTAGGATTTTTCATATAAAAATCTTAGTGTCTCTTATGAGTATTGCACACCTCTATTTTATTTATATGTTTGTTGGATCTTTATTCAAAGCTAAGACATTAAGCTCTTTATCTCTCTATCGCCGAAAATATTTTAGTCTACAAGATGAATACTTAGGGGTAGATGTAGAAATAGTTCAGGGTGGACAACTGCCCATTATAAAACTTTTAGTAAAATAAATAGTTTAATTATTGTTTTCCTTAGTAGACCAAAATTCTACCAAAAAAAAATCATTTTCTATTTCATTAATAAGATTATGCACATTCTAATCATATTTTGCCCGTCTTCTGCATCTAAAAATGTTGCATAAGTTGCTAGTTTTGTTTTGCATTTTTTTTTCACATATTTTAATAATGCTATAGTTTCATAATATTCAGTTCAATTCTTGCTTCATTTGGGAAATGTTTTTTATTGCTTTTTAAAACAACTTTCTAGTACACAAATTTTTTGAATTAGAAATTTTTTTACTAGGAAGCGCTATTTTAGAAAACAGTAAAAAAGTTGTCCCAAAAGAAAACATTCAACCTACACTAAGAGATTAAATGGATAATCTTTTCAAACTTCTTTCACTAAGAAATTTTTAGCCGAATTGCTTTTTAAATTTTGTGGCAAACAATTGAGATGGTACGAATGTTAAAACCATATCTTCTACTATTCCTCTCTCTCCAAATATGTTACAGAGAGCAGCAAAGAACAAAAAAGTAAAAAAAATTGCAAACAAAAGTAAGATGAGACTAATCAAATAATTGCAGCAAATACGATCTCATGAAGCAGAGATGATTTATGTTAACAATAAGCAATTTAGCTGAACGCAGCTATAAAGGAGAGCTTAAAGATGAGAATTGAATTAAAACATGCATCATCATCTCAAACTAAACAAAAAACAGTTTACAAGCTTGCATATACAATCAGGGATCTTCACTAATTCACAAAAGGAAGAATCCCTCTTCATGGACTGAAACAAAGTCCAACCAAACTAACCTATCTAGTTAGAAACAAGGAATCAAATCCCACACCATTAACAAAGAATATTTAATCATATATACTGTACAAATTAATGGGAATAACAGCAATATGACAAACTAGACGACCAAGTAGCTCAGAAGGGTGGGAGAAAGATCAGGTGAATTCGCTGTATAGGTTAGCCGAGACACTGGGCTTTGATGATGCACCAGCTCGTGGATGTCTCTCACAATGTCAAAGACTGCATCGGGTTGAGCCAATTTCAGTGCATTCTGTGATAATCTCTTTAGTTCCTCTCTCTCATGGCCAAACCACCTGGCTACCTGGTTGGCTGCTTCCTTTGGGCTGCTGGAGAACACCCCAGCTCCATTGTCAACAACATAAGGGATATTGCCAACTTCCTGTAGTAAGAAACAATCAATTAAATAGCTGGAAATAACTTGGCATATACAATCCAAATCAATCCATTTAGGCTTCGTTTGGGACGCCTTTCTTTCTGCTTCTTAAAGCAGCTTTTCAGTTCAAAAATTTTAATTTTTTACAAAAAAGCTGCTTTAAGAAGCAGAAAGAAAGTCGTCCCAAACAAAATCTTAATCTGAGTATAACTAGTACCTGTCCAGGGATGAAATCATTGAGGATTATTGGAAGTCCCCTAATTAGAGACTCAGAAATTGTGCCTGGTCCAGCCTGACTACCAAATGATCTTTTAGTAATAAATGGAGGAGTATGTTCTTAAGGTAAATGAAGTTATTGTACCTTTGTTATTATGCAATCACAAGCTCCCATCCATTTCTCCAGCTGCATTTCGAATCCCCTAACCTTTATCCAATAAAAATGACTTAAAAAGCCTTGCTATGTATTGAATTTGCATCAAATCATACAAGTTATTGATTTATTACCTTTACAGGAATCTTCCATTGAATTGATTGCAATGAAGAATGCAGGGCCATATTACGACCGCAGATGATCACTACTTGCCCAATTGGGCGATCAAGTTCTTTGTCATGAAGTGCCTCTTCAAGGGCTTCAGCTGTCTCCTTTACTGGACCCATCCCTTCACCTCCCCCCATCAACAGAACTGCTTGAAGGCACGGCTCCATCTCCAGCTCTTGTCTCAAAGAATCCTTTTTCATCATATAAATGTAAGAGTTGTTTCATTGAGAGTGTGCTCGGAAAAATTCTGATGTTGCTTGATTTAATTCTAGTAAAAAATGCATTTCATGTAGTCTTTTAGCCAGTTAAATCCAAGGAAGAACTTAAGTTATATTTGAAGAGATGTAAAATGGGCTGACATCATGAGTTCATTTAAACACAACATTTACTAAACCAAACAGCTTTTGAAACTTGCATTATTTATCATGTAACACGAGATCATAAGCTTGCATTTTATTATTTCTTATTTTATTACTATTTCTTAAGGAAGCTTGGAGATAGGGGGATAGAAAGATGGAAAGGCTTGAACCTTCTCGAGTGCTGCACGGCAGAAGGAAGGCCTAATTGGTAAACCAAAGACTCTGATTTGAGAAGGAGCAAGTCCATCAAGTAGGGCTCTATTGGCCACTTCCACAGATGGGCAATAGCATCTGTTCACATCGCTATGAAACCTGGAACAAAAACATGTACATATAGCTTAGTTCTTCAATGTTCAGTTATCAGAAAAGAGAAAGAAAATTTTTTCTGAGGTTTACCATGCCCGATGGCAGGAATTTAGGTCAGTGATGACAGTGAGGAAGAGAATATCCTTCTGATGGCTTTTCCATTTTAGCACCCATAATGGAATGTGCTGCATAAGCGGATGGACGCTTATAATGATATCTGGCTTGTACTTCCTCAGACCAGCTTCCACCGTTCTTCAGATTAATACACAAAAGATAAATAGTACAATGAAATATTATTCCTCCACTCTTCAAATTAATAAAGGCACTAAGTATAAAAATGAAGATTTCTTTGTCTTTAGTGTACAAAACCAGTTCTTGAAACAGCTTAATCATATATTTTTCTTTCTTGCTTGAATAAAATGAAATTTTAGCTAGGGAGTAGTCCACATTTAGTTTTAAATTATCAAAAGATGGCAAAGGAAAATGGTAAGTCACTTAAATAATAAATAGGAACCATTAAAATACTATAATAATGTGCTTATGCACCTGCAAAATTCCACTGGAATTTGCATCATATTTCATTTCCTTACCAGTGGAAAACATCCAAGAAAATAATATAGAACGACTATTTCAAGCCTTAAGAAGAAAATTCTTCAAGGAAAAAAAATCATCATATTGGTCTAATTAAACTTCCTAGTATTCCTGAAAGAACTATTGAAGAAATGTGCAAGTTAAACAGTAATTCAGTGCTTCGTCGTGTCAGTTTAGCACCATACTTAATAAAAAAATTTAGGCAAAAAACATTATTTATCCAGAAACATTTTATTTTATTAGTGAAAAACAAAAACTGGTTGATAAATCAAACCAGTAACAATTCAGACAACCTTGTATTACTAATTAAACTAATCTAAGGAAGAAAAACATACTTGGCATAGAAGGCAGCCAGGCCTTCAAGATAAAGGGAATGCACCCAACGAGGTGAAGTGCCATGAAAAGCGACCTTCCAGAGCTGGCTATGTCTCAACAGAAACTTGTAGGACCTCTCCATGTTATTCAATGGCCAACCTGCATGCTCCTTGCACAGGTCCTTCACAAATACCTAATAATTCATCCAAAACAACAAGAATCTACTCAACTCATATTATCTGACCACAATAAAACATGAATAAAGATTTATCTAATTCAAACACGCTTAAAAAAACCATTTTGCTTTCTCAAAGGAAGCATCCTAAGTATTTTACAAATGAGACTTCATTTGTCATAGTTTTTATTTTGCTTGTTTCTACTTCCTCGAACAACATTAATAATTTTATAATGTTTGGAAAAAAAATTGCACGATTAAGTGCAATTATGCCATGTTCAAAAAATAGTTTTTTTTTTAGAATGCAAACTTAGATAACTTTCTCTAAAAAATACAATTTGAATTTAAACATTTTATCTAATGATTTAATTATTAAATTAATTAAACACAAATTAAAGTTATGAAATTTTATTTTCATCTCATGGAATTAATAATAAAAAATATTATAGTTGATATGGCAAGTTAGCCAATAAATATAATTGATTTTAGCAGCAATGAACCTCTATAACTGACAACTGATATATCATCAAAAACTTATCTTGATTGGCCACCGACCATCACCGGACTTTCGTCCGACCACCAGCTGTCGCCAGACTATGGACAGACTGCCAACTGACGACAGATTTTCATCTGACCACTGAACATCACCAAATTTCCATCCGATCTGCGTTCATCACTAGACTTTAACCCGACAGTTAACTATTGTAATCTGACCGTCCTCAATTTGAAGGGAAAATCAGACATTTGTAATCTATTCAAACACCCATGGTTTTTCTCTTGAGGGTTTTCCACGTAAAAAAATTATGGCATTTATTTTTCCTCTGTTTGTGTGTTGAATACTTGTGCAATGCTAAAACATGTTTTTCGTATTTTATAGCCACGAATATTCTAGCCGGCAACAACAACAATGAACAAAACAATGCAACACAAAATAGTACAGGATATCAATGATCAGAAGAACCACGTTGATCCCATAAAAATAAGCAAGCCATTTGCTTGGGGAAACGAATTATCAGTTGTAAGCGCCAGGGGATGAAAAAGAAGCCAGTAAAACCACCCATGAGTTCAAATCTGGGTACAAAATCACAGCTTCTTTTAATTAGGCCAATAAATTAAGCGAAAAAAAATCGAGCAAAGTTCTTGCCAACAAAAAAAAAATAATAATAATAATAAAAAAATGTAATTCCAGAATTACTCATCCAAAACCTCAGTATCTCGAATCAACAAAGAATCACATAATTCGCTACAAAAGAAGTTCAATAACTCGAACAGAAAAGCAAATCGGTAAAAAGCTAAAGGAGAAGCCCATACCCTATAGTCGTCACCGAATTCAAGGTGGAAGGCCTCACGGATGGCCTCAGCAGAAGCGCGATGGCCTCCGCCGGTGTCGCTCATAAGAATTAGCACATTCTTGGGGCGCTCAGTCCCGATCTGCAACATCTCCATGGCGCCCTCCTCATCTTCGTCGACCACCTCCCCGCCCGCCTCCGCCCAAACGCCGGCCTCATATGAGCACCGCCATGGTCGGCGCTTGTGTTGCCCACTGTAGGCCATCAGTACCGTCTCCCTCAGCGATCTCCTCGTAGCCACCATTGCCGGCGAACTTTCCGGCCACCAAACAGACGTCACTGGGTTCTCAGATTCGCGGAGGTGGAAGGGAAATGAGGCGTTATTAATAATATGTGCAAGATTCGGGAATTATGCGGGAATGTTTACGGTTTAATTAAGAATAATTAGTGTTATTTGCATCGCTGGACGGAATCTTCTAAGGGGTATATTCTCTATACCTACTGGAGCTGGTGACACGTGGCAGATTTCTAACGGATAAGGGAATGTGACGTGCTGTATTAGAGCGTGGGGCCCACTTGCAGACCTTTCGTTAGGTGTAATGGCATTATGAAAAATGAAAAATAAATAAATAAATAATGCACGAAAAAGGAAGAATTATATATATATATATATATTGGCAATCCTTTTCATTGATTCAATTGGATCTATGGGTCCCATGCAGGGCCCACTTGCTTAATTCAAGCCAGAAGTCTAGCGGTATTAAGTATTTAATGAGTTGGATTTATTTGTTTGTATTTTAATAGAAATTAATTAGACGTTGTAAGCGATTTGTATGCAATAAAAAATAAAAATAAGTCTACGTTCTTTTATTTATTTCTTTTATGTTTAACTTGTTTTTGTTAACATTTACTTTTATTTATTTATGTTTGGTTCATTACTTATGAACATAAATAAATACATACAAATATATCAATGGCGATAGAAATATTATAGATGTAGCAGTTAGATGGTGATAGTTGGGCAATGATGATCGAATGATAGTGGCAGGGTGAGAATAATCGGGCGTTCATAGTCTAATGACTGTAGTTAGAGGATGAAGGTAATATGATAATGAATGGATTGTGATGATTGAGAGAGAGTGGTCATGTGTCAACGGTTAAGAGGTAATGGTTGGATTATTGCAGTCAGACAACATAGGTGGCTAATTATAGTTATCAACATTGAAACGTTAAGAAAAGTTCTAGAGTTCTTCAAATCTCAAAGTTCTTTCCAAACTAAAGTCCCCTTTTATGTGGAGAATGAAAGTTTATTTATAGTATTTTTATAGTGATATTTTATTAAATTTGGCTAAACTTTCATAACACTTCGGTGGTCGGATGACTATAATTAGTGATAGCAGTGGCTAGCGATGATTATTAAATTTAAATGTCAATAGAGCTTTAGAGTTCTTTAGATCTTTAATCTCTCTTGAAACTTAATTATAAGTTCTTTTCATATGGAGAATGATTGTCTATTTATAGTATATTGAGAGTAGCAATCTAATAAATTCAGTTAATTTATATAACACTCCATCGAACTGCTCATATTGAATTTTTTAATAATATAACATTCAATTAGCTTTGAAGTATCTTAATGGCATCAAAATCTAGTGATATCAAGCCACTCGATTTGACCATATGCATATGAAATTTGGAGATTATTTAATCATTCAATTAATATTCTCAAGTCTTCAAGTGCTTGATTAGGGCTCATTTGTACTCTTATTGAACATCCTTTAATGTTGTTGGGTTAATCTTATCAAGACACTCAATTTGACTATAAGTTTACTGAAATCAAAGTTGGAAAGATTTCAAAATTTAATTTAAATAAGATCTTATTGTAATAAATTATGCAATGATATATATAGCTGCAAATGACCCGAGCATTTGTACAAGTTACTCATGGTTCAACACAAGTACTGCTTGTTCATGGTCGTTTGTTTATGCAATCAAATAAGTTTGAACAATTTTTGAAATACTCGACCGTTAATTAAATAAACAAACATGAACATCTATGTGTTTGGCTTGCTTATATTCATGAACATTATCAATTAAAGCTCTTGAATAAGCTCGATTAGAAGCTTGATTAAATCCTTATTTTGTATTTTTTCGCATAATTTTTAGTTTATTATAATAAATGGTTCTTTCTTTATAAAAAATATATTTCATTTTTTATGTTACACTCTTCGAATAGAATGAATTTGTTCAGGAAAAAGAGGTATTTATTCAAGTTTGTTAGATTGTTTATTTAAAGTATTTATGGACAAGCTTTTTTTTATAAGAAGAATCATTTTTTGAGCTTTTTTGTTCATGAACAAGTTCATTTGATAGCTCAAAAATATTCACTATATATGTTTCTAAATCGGTTCATTTGGTAGGTTGAAGATTCACACTATATATGCTCACTATTATACTCTAGGTAATTATTTATTAATAGGGTCAAGAAGGCTTGATAATGCTTACTTGTTTAAAGCTCAATAAACACAAAATGAATCAACTATCAATATCAAAATTGTGAGATTTCAGCAGCACTTGATAACAACATTTTTGAAATTGCTCTTGTAGATATCTTTTCTAAGCGTTTTTAACCGCTATTAATTTTTTGGATTTAAGGCAGCAATTTAAATTAGTTTCTAAATTCTATCTTAGAGCATTTTATGCACCAATTTTGCTAGAAATTGAAGGGATAATAAAAATCTCCAACAAGCTGTCCGCATGTATCCATGCCCTAGCTACGCACGTGCAGTGCTCGATCTCATTCTGCTCAAGCTCCATTCACATCCATTCGACGATTGGTGAGTCTTCTGCCTGAGGTTTCGTTCGGCGAGTATTCACAAATTCAATCGCTCGTTAAGCTCATGGAGGTTGCCCCTTGCCATAGCTCCGCTCCGATCCATTCTAGTAAATTTGCATGAAATTATCCCATCTCCTAATTTATCTATCAAAGCATAGATGATTGTACCAATTTAAGTAGTGATATATGTTCGTTTAGAGATTCAATGGTTTTCTCAAGTGCAAAACCCTTTTCCCAAGGCATCACAAAAGAGTATTTTTGATTATTTTTTTGGTCTTGATTTGTTCTTAGTTGGCCATTCACTAAGAGTGAAGAGGGAGTAGAAACGTTTGAAATGAGAAAGAGTGAGGTTGGAGAAGATGAGTTAATTGAGAGGAGAAGTGGGATTGTTATTGTTTTTTAAATATTATTTTTTTGTACTAAAAACATATAATGAATATCTATGTTAGTGCTTCCTTTTTATTAATTAGATTTTGTTTTCATGCATACATGTCATGAAGATAAATATGAGAGGGATATATTCATAAATGTAGTTGTATTTTCTCCCTTAATCTTGATGTGTAGGAGAAAAAAGGGAAATAGATTAGGAATTTCTAATACAAAATTAGTAATTAATGTAAATTATTCCTTAAATCTAAATAATTAGATAAATAAATTTCTTGTGTATTTATAAGTAAAAACTATATTCTTTTAGTTTTATTAATATCTAGTAATTTATCTAGAACTTGTTATTTTGAACTTAATACATTCTAAGCTCAAAGGTGATAATTTGTAAATAATTCTAGATAAAAATCTTTGAGATAAAAAGTGAAACTAGTATATATGTGAAAACTACTTTACCTAATTTTATCAAAAGTAACAAGTTTATGCGCTGACCACAAATGAAAGAAATTCTCTTGAGCAAATTAAAACAAACATGTAATCAAGATGTACAAAGATTGATGCATGCCCTAATAATTGTATATTTTATTGGAAATATAGATCTAATCAAGATGTTTGTGACATTTGTGGAGCATCAAGATGGTTAGATTCTAAGAAGAGAAGTATTGTAGGTATGAAAAATCATAGGAAGTTAGCTAAAATTATATTATATTTTCTATTAATTCTAGACTTCAAGGACTATTCAAAATAAAGAAATATGCTGAGGAGATAATTTGTCATGCAACACACAAAAACAAAGATGGCTTACTACGTCATCCTGTTGATGAAGAAGCATGGAAAGCTTTTGACTTGCGATACCCTAATTTTGCAGATGATCCGCATAGTGTTCAATTTGATTTATCAACAAATGGTTTTAATCCTTTTAAGATTATGAGTAATAAATACAGTATTTGACATGTACTTCTAGTTTCATATAACTTGCCACCTTGGATGGGAATGAAGCAAAATTCTTTCATTCTATAAACTATTATACGAGGGGAGAAAAGTTTAGAAAACGCTTTTGACATTTATCTTGAACCATTGATTCAAGAGTTGAATTATATTGAGTTGAATGCTCTGACATGACAACTAAACAAACTTTCAATATACATGCTGCATTAATGTGGACTATAAACTATTTTGTTGCATATGGCATGATATCTTGTTGGAGCACTAAAGGGAGATATGCTTGCCTTATTGTGCAGAAGATACATAATCTCTATAGTTATATAAGGGCAAGATATTTGCATATATGATTCATCAATGGTGGTTTTAAGATAATCATACTTTTCATCTCCAAAAATAGCATTTTGATAACATAGAAGAAGTTTGAATGGTGCCTAAAAGGAAAAGAAGTACTGAGATTCTAGCAAAGTTACATACTAGGTAGTTCCTTACGGGTAGATTCAGTGGCGGAGCTAGAAACATTTTTAGAGGGGGCACAAATTCTTTTAAAAAAATTTCCCTCAACTTTTTTGCATCCGGGCTTGGGACCGGCATAGGAAATTTTAAATTTTTTTTTTAAAGATTAAATACTAAATATAAGATAGAAAAGACTTACAATTTATAGCGTCTGCTCTTTATATTTTGAAAAAGATTAACAATTATATCATTTTCAATACAATCCAATATTTCCTTCTCAATATATGCGAGTAAAGTATTATTCATCCACTGATCTCCAATCCTATTTCACAGTTGAGTTTCAATGATAGCCATTGCAGAAAATACTCTTTCTACTCTTGATGTTGCAACCGGCAAAACTAAAGCGAGTTTTAATAGCCTGAAAACAAGAGGATATAAAATATCTTTTTTATTTTGTATCATTGTCTCAGCAAGGTGTCCAATATCTTTTAACAATGAGAACTGTGGATCTGACTGCATATCCATGATATAAGTTTCCAACTGATTGTCTAGAATTTCCAATTCAACAGAAGTAAAATAACATGGATAAAGATGTGCCATTTGAATTAATCTGCCTTTACTGAATGCACAAAAAGATTTAGATGGATTCAAACAAGCAATTTTGAATGGCCAGTGCAGTAGATTTATTAAACCATGTTTGAAAAGAGGTCGTAATGGCCAGTGCCCGAGGGATGGAAGAAGATATCTATTTTCTTTGACTTACCTTATTGTGAGTATAACTTATTTCTATATAAT